TTAAAATATTTGGATTTGGCTCACGAGATTACCGCCATGTGGCGTATGAAATCGACTACCATTATTCCGATAGTCGTTTCGGCACACGGGCTGATAGCGAAGAGCTTCGACCAACACCTCAAGAAGCTCTCGCTAGACAGTTGGATTAAGGGCCCGATTCAAAAGGCGGTTATTTTAGAAACCGCACGACTAGTGAGGAGGTTCCTGTCTCTGCAGCCCTGACCACTGGTTGCTTGATTCATCGGATTCCGCAGCCGGTGGACTTCTATTTTTTTATATAATATGTTTTATTTTGTTATTTTTTTTTAAGAAAATCATGTGAAATATATTATATATAAAAATAAGAAAATAAAGATATGAGAAAGTAATTTATAATATTAGAATAGATTGGCTATATCCAAAGTAATTTTGCCAATTAACTATCTCACCCGTATGTTGAACACAAGTTAATTCAACCCAGTGTTGAACTCCATTTTAATTGTGACGGACATCTGTTACCGTTCGTCCGGGTATCGGGTTCCTTTCCCGCGGAACAAGCGTTTGCAATGTCAAGTTTGGATGACGTGACAGACATTTCGATCCGTTCACAAGTTTCAATTACATAGAGGCAATTAATTGATCTAAAAAAAAAAACAAGACAACGAATTGATAGAAGTTAACTTTTTTAGGTAATGGTAACTAGTTTAGTTAGTCGTCGAAAGTTATGCGACCCTGGTACCATCACTGGCATATATATTACTGAATTGGTCCCACTCAGAGTTTTTTAAGCACACTCCTTAGTGTGGATTTCTCTTACTAAATCTAGACTAAAGGTCTCCGACAGTAACAGTAATGACTCTGAGTGCGATAATTAGGGCCTTCTCATCGTTCATGGAGAAGAAAGGAAGGGAAAGTACATTAAGTTATGTCCAGCGCACAAACAACCTTAAGATTTAATAAGTTTAACTTGTTTTCATTTATTATTTGTGTGGTGACCCTAACATCTCTGACTACAACTTGTTTATTTGCAATGTTTACGCGACCGCTACCATCCGTTGTTCCCTTTGATTTACGCCTTTGTACTCGCCGAATGTTTACACTAACACGATGTTATCAAAGCTTATTTGCAAGACTACTGTACTGTGAAGCTAGAAATATTTTATATACGTTTTACAGATAAAGCTTGCGCACAACTTTGACTAAACTATCGCATAACTGTTTAGTCTCTCTTTGATTCCTATGTTCTTATAAAAAGGTGTGCACACTACTCGATTTTTATTTTACAACTAAACAGTTGAATCGGCTGCAAAACAATCGACAATCGCACAACATTTATGCGACGGTCTAGTCAAAGATATGCCCCGCTCCGAAATCAAATATTTTTTTTTTATATATGTACATAGTTACCATGAATATTAGTCAACATAAATCGTCGAATTGAATCATTAAATTAATTTTATATTCAAATCATGTAAGGATTTGCATCAGCCCGCAATTATTCAGGTTACATCAGCTTAGGCATCAACCTAAGACCTAACGCAGCGAGGAAGTTTTAATTTTAGGCAACTGTCGTGACTGTACTGCCTATGTTTAATACATAATATATTAATGAATGAACATGCGTAGTTTTTTAGGCATGATCATCCTGTTTACAGAGTTAATTATTTTAGCGAACAATCAAAGTTAACTGTGTGACAAAAATCTATACTATTATAATAAAGCGTAAACACACACTTCTTTGTTGCCTAAGATGCTAGCATATTACAGTCAGCAATTACAGCATGTTTTTGAATAATTCTTTTTTTAATAAAAAGCCTTACACTTACGTCACGCTTTGGGCTATATATTTTCACGCCATTAAACTTAGGGAGTACATATTTTGGATATAAACCCTAATGTCGGAAAGAGAACATACGATACGAGCTGTCAACATCAAGAAGTAAAATTGCCATAGTAAGGTAATTGATATTTTGACATTTGCAATTGATATTTTGATACATGTAAACAGTAAAATTATATTTTCAACATTTTATGCGGATGAAGTCGCACGGGAACAGCTAGTTCTTAATACAGCTCAATATTCTGCAAAAAAATAACAGCAAAATATTCTCAAAGAAACTTTATGTAATCCCAACTGACATTACTGATATTAATTGTTCTGTCGTCTTTTAAAACATAGTATTTCATAGTAAGGTTTCGCATAAACTTTTCTCTTAAAATAAACATAACTGTTAAATTAAATAAATATTTCCAATTAGTTTTAGCTACTAAAAGATATAATTGTCAATTTAAAGAATTAATCGGAATTTTCAAATTAAAAAACACCATAACGCCTCTTAATTGCCACTTACAAATCATAATTAAAAAAATAACCTCCAAAAGAAATTGGAAACGCGTTATTAGGTGTACATAAATGTCATTTTTATCGCGTACAGAAATACCGTGGAGGCATTACAAGCAGTAAAGACGACGATAATAGTATATTAATATGACATACGTATTTCTGACACAGCTTTTTGAAACGCTCGTATACAGCCTTGATAAAGGACCCGCAGTTATTTGTTAATAAGATAAGATCTTAACAAGAAAGATAAAATTCATTTCTTAAATGAATACGTTTCTAAAAACTCTTCTTGTAATACAACCTTCTAAAATCATTACTGGCATACTTATAAAAACATATTTGTCCTTGTTTTTTCAAAAGAAAAGCGGGACAACAATAATGCATTTAATATGTAACAGGATTCTGTATTTATACTTCAACATTCACTACTTATTTCTTACTAGCTTTTGCTCGTGACTTCGTCTGAGTGGAAATAGTCAAAACTATAGCCTATGTTACTCACAGATAATTACCTTTGTAATGATGAAAGAATTTTTAAAATCGACTCGGTAGTTTTTGCGTGAATCAAATACATAGAAAAATACAAATCTTTCCTCTTTATAATACTAGTATAGATAGCTGTTGCTTGCGAATTCATCCAGGTGAAATTTTTAAAGTAAAAAATATAGCCTATGTTACTCACTGATAACGTATATTTTTAACGGTGAAAGATTTTGTTTAAATCAGTCCAGTAGATTTTGAGTTATTTTAATACATACAAAAATCTAAAAATACAAATCTTTCCTTTTTATAATATTAGTAAAGATATAGAAGTATAGATGATTGGATATTAAGTAAGTAGTCTCGGAAGATATTTCATACACATCAATCTTAACTGTCAAATCCTGCTGTTTGAATGACATGCAATCGATAACGTAACGTCGTTTACTCTGTAAGATGACTTCATATTCCGCACATTTCTAAGTACTTTCAATGAGGAAATTAATGCGTTACTTTTACTAGTCAACTTAATTTCACCATATAACTAGTAATGACTACAGTTAAGAAGAAATCGATACCGTACCGGAGTACCGGTATTGCGGCGCATCACTAGATCAACGGCATACGCGTCCCATCTCTATGATATCTGTCAATGTCATTCAGAAGTATTTAGAATAAGGGCGTCATTCTGGCGGGATTCGGCAGACTGAGTATCGAAGTAAATTTACATTTTTACGATCACATTATAGTCTAATACTGCTAAACATCTTAGATTATATTTTTTTGTAAAATGCACTTACAAATGCTCCAGGATCCAGTCTGGGTTAAAAACCTTCAAGGAATTTAAATTATCAAGCGTATAATTAATTAATATCAATTCGTACTAAAACGGCACATCGACGCATCAAGATAAGACAGTAAGAGCGTACGCACACCTTAGACTAAACTATCGCACAACTGTGCGATTGTCGATTGTTACGCAGCAAATTCAACTGTTTAGTTGCACAACTAAAAATCTGCCAGTGTACTTCCATATAAGTTCATAGGAATCAAAGCGCGACTAAACAGTTGTGCGATAGTTTAGTTTCAGATGGGAGTTCTAACTCCTAAATATATCCGACGCAAAGAGTTATATGTTTTATGAGGTCTTAAAAGGATGTAACCCTTTTCGGCGTAGCTCGTCTGTCGACCGCTTTTACGGTCCTCCGGATAACATCTAAGTGCTGCTTTTAAAATTTTAATATCTGTTCTTTACGACATCTTGGCCACTATATTTTTGACATTATATCACGTGATTATGGTTAATTTAAGGATATTGCACTATATTAAAGCGTGTAATTAGCAAAAAACCGGTTTAAGAATGATTAAAAATGTTTTCGTTTTATACAGACTTGTAACCGACAAATTACATTTTATTCGATTAACAAAAATAAGGTAGGATGCAAAATGGTCATAGAATATAGATAACTGTATAGAATCTTACTAATATTATAATTGTGAATGATTCATGGATGTTTATTAGAGTTTGCCGCCTAAACGGCTGAACGGATCTCGATGATTTTTATAATTAGTCTGGAAGAAGACATAGCCTACTTACTCAATTCCACACGGACTGAATCGCTGGAGAAGGAAAGTGTATAAGAGAATATGATATTGTAAATTCATGTCTATATAAGCACGATATCGCTACGTCAAACTTGAGAAGGAAACTTTGAAGGGCGGGCCGATAAGAGGGCGCGGGTGTGCACTGAGTAAGCTTGTTGTGAGCGGATGTTGTGACTGTATACTTCTGAGGTTATGCACTGTTGATAACTTACATGATATTTAAAACATGTTTCTTGAACATTACTCATTTATAACTAGCTTTCGCCCGCGACTCCCTCCGCGTGGAATTAAAAAAAAAAACAAAAGTATGAACGTGTTCTTCCAGACTATCCTCTACTACTATGACAAATTTTATCGAGATCCTTTCAGCAGTTTAGGCTACAAAATCTACCAAACAACGATCCATTTAATCTTTCGCAATTATTATATAAATAAGATGTATAGATGCTACAATTATTTTCATAGTCGAAACATGCCTATTTTATTTCTTTTTTCATAGAATAAGTGAGAACTGAAAATTATTTGCTAGTATATTTTATTAATGTAAACACTTCGTAACTTACATGCTAATCGAATCCGTGTTTTGTTCCAGATCGCTGCTGCTAGCAGCCATCGTATTAAGTAATTATTTAGTTTGGACAGCAACAAGGCATCATCACACACACAATGTAAGTATAGTATTTATTTAATTATTTCGATGAACAAAATGTCGCTTATGTTAAGGTCGATTATATTTAGAGCGTGCGCACACCTGAAACTAAACTATCGCACAACTGTTTAGTCTTGCTTTGATTCCTATGATCTTATATGGAGGTGCGCCCACTACTCGATTTTTGACCGACTTCCCATAAGGAGGTTCTCAATTCGTCTGTATGTTTTTTTTTGTTCTAAACAATTGAATTAGCTTCGAAACAATCTACAATCGTTTAGTGAAAGGAGTGCGCCAGCTCTTAGTATTGTTCATTAGAAGTAAAAAAGCCTCTTAATTGACGTAACACCAATCATACACTGTATGTTTAAGTTGTCTAGAAATCGTTGTTTAATCTAAATAGTTGTTTTCAAGAATATTTTCAACAAAAGCTAACACAAGCCGAGCCAGCTCAGTAGCTGTCAGTAGGCACAAGGCAAGACATTATCTCTGCGACGCCGGAAAGTTAATTTATTGCAGGAAGACGCAGTGGACGCTAAATCCAGACAGGGATGCCTCATTTACAAAGATGGCAAATGTAGATTAACTTCAACTACGTTTTTTGTGATCTAGTAATTAAATCACTATTTCGTTGGGTCTTAAATTCTTGTTTTTTCCCCTAAAAAATTACGTTTTTTTTACTTTTCTTTCCCTCCATCTTAAAAATTACTTTAATCCATTTTGACTTATGAAGTTACATTTTTAATTACAATTGTTAAAACGTTATTTATGAACACCTAATAGGAATTTTTACATACACATTATACAGATGGTATAATTTAATTTAATTTTAGTTGTTATTTTTGTCAGCCCTGCATCAAACATAGTATTTCACAAGTCCACGCTGCTATTGACCGCGCGGCCCTTGACTTTGACCGGCGCAGCGCCATCTAGCGGCGGATAGCGGACGCTTGATCGATTAACATCGGACAATGGTCTATTTAATGTGGATGATTGAGCAATCTTCTTAAAACACTCATTTAATATCACAAAACAATAAGAAACTCAATTTACCGCACAGCTTCTCGACTCAGGGTCGAGAATGTTATTATATATCTTCATTGAACTTAGACATTTCTCTCTTTGAATAGGCAAAGTTTGTAACTAAGAACAACATAGAGAACAGTGTAAAGTTACTTCTATTGTTTATTGACATTTTGTAGGTTTGACTTAAAGCCTTATCTAGATCGTAATTTTAGATAGTAAAATAAGGAAGCAATTAGTAGTTATTTTCATCTTTCACATATCATGATTTTTGTATGTATTTGATTCACGCCAAAACTACTGGACCGATTTAAAAAATTCATTCACCAATAGACAGATAATTTATCAGAGAGTAACATAGGTATATTTTGTATTAATTATTAATATCACGCGGGCGAAGTCGCGAGCAACAACTATTCATTAGTATTGTTTTGTAAATTATTTCGAGATATAATTTCTTCCCTTTTCATTTTACAGATCCTTTCCGTAATAGACTAAAGTAGAGAAAAATAGGTTTTTTTTTCTAATAAAAGCCCGTCGAGAACGGTAGATTCTAATCTACCGGTCTTGCCTTTTTTCGCTGGTTATTTTATTATTTTAAAACAACAAAAGAGTATTTTGATTCCTTGGAATTTGAAATATGCGTCATAACGTTACGTTACTGAGGTGCGTTACTTTCGATTTCATCGGTCCGCGAGATGGCGCTGCGTGAGATCATTGCCAGACATCATTACATTATAGATTCTATGATAGGGTTGAACAATCGACGAAGAGTTTATACTAAAATAAAATTGTATTCAATTAGTTCTAGTTTTCCAAAATTAACTCGCAACTCCCTCTCAAAATTATTCTTACACCTCATTATTCTTAAATTTTGATTTCCATTAACACTTTTGTTAACTTTTTAACTATTTTTGATGTATTCTGTATTCTTAAAAATTATTTGTTAATCTGTGCTATCTATCAATACATTTACATTTACATCTTTATTTAAAACAACAATATTGTTAGGAAAATAACTAATCTAACACTTTACTACTTATTGTCTTTTAATTTATAGTATATTTTTTTAACAACTATGAAAATCAATCTTGATCAAAATATAAAAATGAAAATTTTAAACGTTAACAAAATATGCTTTTATAATCGACAACCCTAATGATATCAATTGAAAAAGCATGTGAACTGTTTAAATGTAATTAGTCAAGGCGCCAGCCTGTTACTAGTCAACGACAGGCAATAGTCAGTCATACATAGTCACAGAAAGTCACAAATACAGCACTATTTCGGGAGTCACGATCACTTGGGCGGCACGCGAGACCGTAACGGGCCAATTTATGAGGTTCTTGTCTCGAAATACATTTAAACTACGACGTTTTGGCAATTAATTTTATGAAGTTTCAAATTGCTGATTTATTGATTTGTACACTTAAAAGTTTTTACATTATCTATGGTATGAGATGGAACAATTTTCTTATTACCTGTCTATGCTTTTTTATTATCTTGGTACTTAACTTCGATATATTAACATTTAACAAGGCTAAGAACACACATGGAAGTAACTGGCATATGTTTTTTTTTTATAATAATAGGTGGCAAACGAACAAGCGACCACCTGAATCCACCGAAATGGAAAGCGACTGCTGCCCATAAACATCCGCAATTGCAGATGCGTTGTCTACCCTTAATTGACGGAGGAGGAGACGCACACAAAGAGGAAATTTCCTCTTCCTATGTGTCCCCTCCATCGTCAAATCCACTTTTCTTTTCCATCATTTCCTCTTAAGAAAAGAATGGAAAGGAAAAGGGACTAAAATTAGGCCTCCGGCTGTATTTCTGCCTTAATGGTAAAATGAACACGTTGATGTACAATATTCTATCAACACACATCTGAAAGTGATTTGAAATAAACTTTCAGAGATCTTTTATTGATTCAGTCAACACGTGAAATAATTACAAGTGAATTGTAATGCATTAATCTTTAGGGTTTTTTGTTTTCTACACTCAATTTTTAAGACTAACTATAAATCATACTTCATACTGATATTATAACTGCGAAAGTTAAGATGGATAGATGTTTGTTAGAGTTTGTAGCCTAAACGGTTGAACGGAATTCAATGAATTTTGGTACAGTATAGGGTAGTCTGGAAGAACGAATAGTTGCCTATATTTTGTTATTTTTTAATTCCACGCGGGCGAAAGCTAGTTTACTTGTAAATCTTTTAATAGTTGAGAATATCAATAAACTTCTTTAGCTTTTGAAGCTTTAGGGGTCATTTAACTCTGAGTTCGATAGTTAGTGTTGCATTATAATCTGTACGATACCGCGGTATCGTCTGTATATGAAGAGAGTTGAAATGTCTGTTATTATAAGCGATGCAGTAGTGGTCGGTCGTTGCAACACTCTTGACAACCTCCGCGCCCGACGCTGCTTGTTTATCTAAACAACATAGACTTAAAAGCTCGCGTGGACGGTTCCCGTGGTGATCGGTATTTTGTATAAGCTGTGTCGACATTGATAAATATTTTGTAAAGCAATAACTAAAAATGAAATACATATACTAAAATTAAAAAATAGTATTCACATCGATGTAAATTAGAACGACTTTTGATGCTAAATCACCTTGGAGGTGGTACTTCCGCACCAGGTGCTAGGTTTTTCAAAGACTTCAAAGAAAATATTATAGTAAAAAAATTGTAATGTAATTGTTGTTAGTATTTTTACGCTCTATGTAAGCCCATCTTTACTTTAACGATTAGAAACTTCTCAGTCAACGTCCTATAAAGGGCTCGTGCGCGATTGAATTAAACCAACATCCAAGTCCACATGTCAAGAGCTGGGAAACTTTCTTTATTTTTTGCTTCGTTACGCCTACCATTTTATGAATAGCAATTATTTGCAAGTTAAACTTCGTTTAAGGTTATATGAAATATTGATTTGTAAATTGACTCTACAAATCCATAAACATTGAATACGGAAGTAATTTCTTGTGCCTTTCGAAATCACTGAAACAGTCATGATTCGTGTTTGTTTATTTTGTTTCATATTTAACTTGAACATTAGTTATTGATAGAGTGAAGTACGCAGTAACTTTGCAAAATACTTTATTAAGTTTTCTCAGACAAAAAAAAATGTGTCAGACAAAACGTAATGTGTATTTGTACTCCAAGTAAGTTACCGTTATGTTATAACTATTAACTATTACTAAATAGTTTAAATGTAAATATATCAATTTGATCTTTTATTGTCTTAAATAATTCAGATTACATTCGATGTTGTAAAAATTGATGCAATCAACTTTAATACGTTTAAATTGGAAATATTCTAACGGTGTACCTACAATAAGTGCATCTGTGGGAAAATATTTCCAAAGGCAATCATAGTTTTTATTACGTATCTATATTTGGAGGTTATGATGCAATGTGATGGTAGAGTTATAATTACCTTCATTTAATTATTATGGTTTTAAATTAATTGGAAAGTATAATTCTAAGACAAGGTTGCTTTGATGGAAGCTTTTCCGTCTGACAGCCGCGCCTATAGTCAATTAATAAGTATAAAAACCTTAAGCCGTCCCTTAATGTAAAATGTAAGTCTCTAGTAGATCATTTACACTAACAGCCTTACAAATAAACGTGGTATAAAGTTTAACTTAGGAATAACTAAACTGAGTAAAATCAGATATTAGTACACATTTTAGTACAAAATTTGCTTATATTCAGTTTATTCCTAAATTTAACTTTATGCCGCGTTTATTTGTAAGGCTGTAAAAGTTTACCATGGCGATTCCAGCACATAACAAACTGCCAAAATCGTTTGTCGCCCATTCCAAGCCTAACATATAAAACCTTTTTGGTTTAATTTGAATGAATGGTATTATATTTGTGGCTTCTATTAGTAAACGTGTCTTATATTGGTGCAGCTATCCCGTCACCGCAGCAGGCACAGGCGGCAGGGCGCTGGGCTGTATCTGCCTGCTTCCTACGTGCTGCCCGGAGGCGAAGGCAGCGGTGCGTGGGGTGAATGGGGCGAGGTGAGCGCCTGCTCGCGGACATGCGGCGGCGGTGTAGCCAGCCAGAAGAGAATATGTCTTGAAGTCAGGTTAGTACAGACCCCCGACTGATCACTCCACGCTACTGTAACGCTTATTTACTTTATCTTTGAAGACATCTTGAAGAATTAATAATATTCTAGCTTATTTCGTCCTCCATATCAATCCACATATCTTCCATCGACTCAGTCGTCACACTCTTCTTGACCATGTAATATCTCACGAGAATCTTTATTCCTCACTAATTATACGATATTTCTTTAATCCTAGTCCTGAAGGTCAACCGCTCTGCACGGGTGGCGATACCAAGTACCTCTCATGTGAGACACAGGACTGCCCCGAAGTCGGGGATTTCCGCGCGGAGCAGTGCGCTGAGTACGACGACATCGCCTTCAGGGGCATCAAATATAAGTATGTATTTTTCTGCCATATTAGTAATCCTTTTTTGACAATACCATTATTTAGCGTATTGGTTACAGATGGCTGCCATACACGAACGCCCCAAACCCGTGCGAGCTGAACTGCATGCCGCGCGGAGAGCGGTTCTACTTCCGACAGAAGATCAAGGTGGTGGACGGCACCAGATGCACAGACGAGTCTTTCGACGTCTGCGTCAATGGAACCTGTCAGGTATTAAGCAATTTGTTGGAATTAAGATGATTCTCCCCTTTGGGAGACATTCTCGAGTCTGATGTGAGACGACCCGGAAATAAATCAACTACCCAAAGTACCTAAAGAGCGTTTTGTAAACACGCAACTCTGGTATCTCGTAACTGTACAGTTTATTTATATTTTTTACAGCCGGTAGGTTGCGATATGATGCTAGGGTCTAACGCACGCGAGGACAAGTGTCGCGAGTGCCGCGGAAATGGCACAAACTGCCGGACCATCGCTGGGCGCATAGACAACCCTGACCTCAGGAAAGGTAAATGTTTACTTATAAAATTCACAGCAAGTCTGTACGATTTTCCAATGTATTCTACGTAGTTTTACCACTTATATCATAAGAACAATAACAAGTCTTTAATTTTCAGGTTATAACGACGTCCTGCTAATACCGCAAGGTTCGACAAGCATTTACATTACAGAAGTGCGAGCATCAAATAATTACTTAGGTAAGAATAAGAAAAAAAAGACCGGTACATGCAGAATTACTTTTTCTACCATTCTTTCAAAAACCTCTTTTCATTATAGCCTTAAGATCGAAGCAAGACAATGTATATTACCTAAACGGGGAGTACCACATCGACTTCCCTCGCAGTCTTATGATAGCTGGTGCCACCTGGCACTACGAGCGCAGCCAGCAAGGCTTCGCCGCGCCCGACAAACTGCGCTGCCTCGGACCCACGACTGAACCTTTGTACCTCTCGGTTAGTATGAATAAAATATCTCTATTGTTATGTATATCTTGTCTGTCTGTCTCTGGAACAGCTGCGCCGATTTTTACTCTATTTTTTTTTTTAATTTCGTGCCAACAAAGTCGCCGGCAACCGCTAGTCACCAATTAATTGAACTCCATTCATTTGTTTAGTTTTCTTGTCTTTTGCTTTCACTTTTACACTTGTCACTCTTTTGCTCTCAGTTGCTGTTACAAGACGAAAATGTGGGAGTCGAGTATGAATACAGCCTGCCTGCCGCACTAGCGCCTCCACCGAACCAAGAGTACAATTGGGTATTCCGTGATTTCTCCCCCTGCAGCGCCACATGCGGCGGAGGTATGAAACTCGTAAACTAACGTTGGTTCAAATTATCTATTGTTTAAAACTATGGAGTCTAAATTGGTATCCTCTTTAGGAACTCAGAGTCGGCAAGTAAGTTGTCGGTCGAGAGAGGAACTAGAGATAGTGGAGGACAGTTTGTGTGACTCCGGCCTCAAGCCAGTCACCAACCAGACCTGCAATACTGACCCCTGCCCGCCGCGCTGGGTGGAAGAACCCTGGGGTCCTTGCTCCAAGCCATGCGGGGCAGGTGGTACTAGGTCCAGACAAGTCTACTGTCAGAAAATCATCGTTAATGGGTAAACTTATATCAATTAATAATTATAAAAGAATTTATGTCTATGATTTATGACACTCTAATTCTTTCAGGCTGCTGTCCATAGTAGCGGACAAGGAGTGCTTCGACCTGCTGGGCTCCAAGCCTGAGCTGTACCAGGAATGCAACAGGAACGCCACCTGCCCCACTTGGTTCACTGGACCTTGGAAACCGGTACATAATACATATATAAAATAAATATATTCACAATTTTATTTAAAAACCTTTTTTCGAATGTTTTTTTTTTACGAATTTATTAAATTTGTACAGTGCGACAAACTATGCGACGAAGGCAAACAGACGCGGGATGTGGTGTGCCATCAGAAGGTCAACGGTAAAGTGGAAGTATTTGATGACGCGATGTGCGAAGATGAGAAGCCGGCCACAGAGCAGAGCTGCATGCTGCGGCCCTGCGATGGAGTCGACTGGGTGCTCTCCGACTGGTCTGGGGTGAGTACCATTCTTACAAACTTGTGTTTCCAAAGTTGATTGGAAGTTCCGACAGAGATGGACTAAATACATTACAAATCTACTACTTAAGTTTTAATTCCAGTTTTATTTGTATTTCAGTGCGACACGTGTACATCTACAGTGCGCTCGCGCGTGGCTCACTGCGCCACCAGCATGCACAAAGTGGTGAACTCCAGCTTCTGCTCGTACCACCCAGCGCCGGTGCTGGAGGAGCCCTGCGACCGCACCAAACTGCCCTCCTGCCAGCTCTTGTGGTACGCCACTCAGTGGAGCAAGGCAAGTTGACAAATTACGAAAGACTTAGTAGCTTAGACAGCTTGTCTTTTGCTTGTTTAATCGCTAATGGTGTACTCAGTCATTTAATGATTACATAAACATTCGCTTATTCTAGTTTTCTATTACTAATAAATTATATAAATGTAAACCCATGATGATAATAAAACTTAACGCTTCTTTTAGCGTTTTTGAAAACAGTGCAGCAGCAAGAGCTTTAACTATAGGTATTTGTTAGGTATGCCTTATGCCTCAAGGAAATGTAATCTTTCGAGTCCGATATAATTGGAAAAATGTTTGTTCCAGTGTTCAGTGGAATGCGGGAAAGGTATCCAAAGCCGGCGGGTGTTCTGCGGTCTGTTTGATGGCGCGTCAGTGATCAAGGTGGACGACGAACGCTGCGACAGCAAACTGCGCTACAACGATAGCAAGCCCTGCGAAGTGCCTTCGGAGAAATGCGATGCCAAGTGGTACGCCGGACCATGGTCGACAGTAAGCCACTCCCTTTATTTATTAAGCGTTTTATGGAAATTTAATTATTACAGTTTACGGATATAACTATATTTTCTGATTTATTTCGACAGTGTAACAAAGAGTGCGGTGGCGGTCAACAGTACCGACGCGTGATGTGCTTGAGCGGTGGTGTCGAAATGAAAACATGTCCCGAGGATTTCATACTAGACACGATGCAGATTTGTAACACGGAGGCTTGCACCAGTAAGTATTGTCAAAGACTGAGTCTTTATACTTTAGACATATTACCAACATCATATCAACATCCCATGGAATTCTCTCGTATCACTGATTATCAGGTGAATAGCTTCTATGTTTTTGTATTACGCATAAATCGCTTATTTCATTATTCCTAAAAGATGACACCAAGACTACACCGGCTGATGATGTGACTGCATCTGATGATTACTATGACTACGAGGAATGTATCGAAGAGGACTACCCTGAGGCCGGTGCTGAGGTGATCGGGCCGAGCGGCGTCACAGTACGTATACAATGTGTACTTTAGTGAGAATGTTCACACTCTGATGACGTGAGACATTATTCTTTGATTTCTTTTCAGATAGAAGACGTAATGTTCAGCGATAGTCCAGTCACTGGTAATATAATTTGTCATTAACTATTCATATTTTATACAAAATCTAATTAAATGTGATTTATAAAAACTTTTTGCAGATTATGATGATTCCGCTGAATATATTTCTCAATTTACGCTCGAAACTAGATCTGATACAGGTGAGTATTAAGACTGTCAGCAGTTACTTCTTTGAATGGTTTCTCTTTTACTGAAGTATCTCATGTTCATTTCTTTTTTACATCTCAGAGTCCACTGATGATTGGACTACTCATGAAACGGGGAGTGGATCCACTGGCACTGACTTCACTGATTTATCGACCACCGATGAAACGGGCAGTGGCTACACTGGTACTGACTTCACTGATGATACAACAGTATTCACGTCTATCACTGATACGACGGAAGCGACAATAGATGAGAGTGAAAGGGAACTAACCGAAGAATTCATTGCCATCTCTAGCGTGTCGCCATTACATTCCTCTTCAAAGAAATCTGGAATTATTGACACAATATCCAGCACAGAATCATCAACAACTTCAGATGTAACCGGAACCGGATCTACAGAAGGTAAATATTACATGCTTAAAATGTTCCTTGTATAAACAAACACGCTCTTTATAAGTAGAAGGCCAAGATGATTTTTTTCCTTTTTCTAACAGTGTCTACAGATAAAAGCACTGATTCAAGTACAACTTTCGATGTTTCGGAATCAAGTAGTGATGGAAGCACAGAAATTTCAGACACCAGCACAGAAAGTAGTACACTAGAAAACACAGAATTAGCAGGATCTAGTACAGGTAAATACATAGAGAAAAAAGCACATCATCGACTAAACTATAGCAAAACTGTAGTGCAATTGTCGATTGTTTCGCAGCTCATTCAATTGTTTAGTTGCACAATTAAAAAGCCTAGTTATGTGCACATCTTCATATAAGATCATAGGAATTAAAACACTACTAAACAGTTGTGCGATAGTTTAGTCAAAGGTGTGCGCGCTCTTATAGTTGAACTTTAACATCTTGACTTAACTTAAACCACATATTCAGATGTATCTTCGAGTGTTAGCAAAACTGATTTAACGGAGTCAACCGAAAGCACGATAACCGATAGTACAGAATCGACGGAAACTGGCGTAAGTTCTGTTTCTACAGAACCCACTGAAACAGGGATAACTGAAAGTGGAAGCACGGTAGCAGCAAGTGAAAGCAGTTCCCTAAGTTCAGAAACTGAAATAACAGATAGCACAGAAATCTTTACAACCGCAGCAACAAAATCCGAAACTGATACGTCTGAAACAGCCAGTAGTGTTACGACTGAATTAGAAACAAAGGCCGCTAAAGAATCTGTATCTACAGAATCTAGCACCTCTGACTCCGTAACGAAAGACGGAATTACCACGGGCTCTTCTGAATCTGAATCGACCGAGATTACGGAGTCCACTGTAACCGATACAACATTAACCGAATCCAGTAAAACCACAGAAACGGAATCAACTGAAATTACGGAATCTGAACCTAGTCTATCGACTGAATCTGCATCTAGTGTATCTACAGAATCTGGATCAAGTGCGACCACAGAATCTGAATCCAGTGCAACTACCGAGTCCGAAACCAGTGCAACCACAGAATCTGGATCAAGTGCAACCACAGAATCTGGATCCAGTGCGACTACCGAGTCCGAAGCTAGTGCAACCACAGAATCTGGATCAAGTGCAACCACAGAATCTGGATCCAGTGCGACTACCGAATCTGAAGCCAGCGCTACCACAGAATCTGGATCAAGTGCAACCACGGAATCTGGATCCAGTGCAACTACCGAATTTGAAGTCAGTGGAACCACAGAATCTGGATCAAGTGCAACTGCAGAAACTAAATCAAAATCAATTACCGAATCTGAATCCAGTGCAACCACGGAATCTGGATCTAGTGTATCTACTGAATCTGAATCGAGTGCGACTACCGAGGCTGGATCTAGTGCTACAACTGAATTTGAAATTAGTTCAACTACAGAATCTGGATCAAGTGTAAGTACTGAAAATGAATCTCACGCGACTACAGAGATCACGGAACAAGAAACAACTGTCTCTAGTACAGTTGTGAGTACAGAATCTACAGAAGGCGAAACAACGGTATCTGAATCGAGCGCGACTACTGAAACTACTAAAGAGGAGAGTACCGATTCCTCAGCAACAACAGAAAGCTCTGTTGCTAGCACCCAAACTGAAAGTACGGAGTCAAGCACAACTATGAGTTCGGAAGCTAGCACCACTGAAGTCTCTGCTAGTTTGTCGACAACGGAAGAGTCTGGAGAAGAGACATCAGGAGGTGAGAAAATTAATCATTTCACACTAAACACTTACTTTTATATTTAATACATATATACATTTTTATGTAATACCTTCTATGCGTTTGTACAAATACTAATATATAAGGAAATTTTAGAAACTGACGGTACAACGGAGTCTGGTTCTACTACGGAAAAAATTGAAACATCTACGATTAGTGGATCTAGTAAGTAAAATTTAAAGTATTATTTATAATAGTATAATATTTCAATTATCGACGCCAGAGGGTCAGTTCTCCCCCTTCTCATAGAATCTAAAAATGTAAAATAGATATCAAAACAATTTCAAATGAAACCATATTAATCGTAGTTATTCCTTCCCCTAGACTTAGCCTAGACCATGGTTGGCGACGGGTGTTTCTAAGAGTTTTATTTCTTTTAATATTATAGCACTCGAGAGTTCTGGAAGTTCCTCCATTGAAAGCGCATCCACAACGGAAATTACAAGCCCTGAGGAATCCTCTGGTACAACCGAGGCGAGTCTGGAAGGATTGTCCACCACTGAAATATCAACCGAAAGAGAAACGGAAACTGAAAGAGGAACAAGTAAGTGTTAAAGTTAAAGAAACATTTTTTATTAATATCGAATTTATCTTAAGTACCTAAAAAGGTTGTTTTAAAAAAAGAAATGGATACTAATTTCTTATGATACTTTTAGCTCCATGGGGCTGGACGACGACTGTTGAAGTTTACACAAAGAAACCAGGGTGTAAGGCACGAAGAAAAGTCGCCAAATGCATCAAAAGCAAATATGGTTGCTGTTCCGACAAAAGGACACCAGCAAAGGGACCATTTGAAGAAGGTAAGTTTAAGTAAGCCTTTTGGTACCGCACTCTAGCCATCCGATTACTTAAGCTGCCACAATGTGCGTAGATTTCTCTTGATAAATTTAATGAAGGAAACATTGACCTTGCATTATTTATTCGGTTTTACATTAGCCCACCACCACCCATGGCCCCACCGACCCTCGGGTCATACGGGGCGAATCGCGGGAGGGGCGCGCGGTCTTTTTTTTTATAACATTAGGTGGCAAACGAGCAAGCGGCCACCTGAATCCACCGAAATGGAAAGCGACCGCTGCCCATAGACATCCGCAATTGCTGATGCGTTGCCTTCCCCTAATTGACGGAGAAGGAGACGCACATAAGAGGACATTTTCCCTTCCTATGCGTCTCCACCACCGTAAAATCCACTTTTTCTTTCCATCCTTTCCTCTTAAGAAAAGGGTGGAAAGGGAAAGGGACTAAAATGAGGCCTCCGGCACCACGCTCATCACACGAAACGCGGAATTGCTTCCACTTCACGCCTGTTTTCTGTGTAGTCATGGTATTACACCGGGCGAGCCTGCCCATTCGTGCGAAGTTGTTAAAGCGGGCTCTACCATTGTCTGGCCGGTTTCGGCTCCGCACACACCTTCTTGACTCCCTACATTACAATTATTATATTACAAGTTATTTCGTCCGTTTACATTACCGGATTTACATTAGATATATCTTAATTCAGGTTGCCAGAGTCCGAAGACGTGTAAGGACACTAAACACGGCTGTTGCCCTGACGGAGTGTCTCCCGCGGCCGGACCTCGCGGCAAGGGCTGCCCCTTGCCGGCCTGCAGCGAAACGCTCTTCGGTTGTTGCCTCTCCGACAATGTTACTGTTGCGGAGGGCAACGATCAAGAAGGCTGTCCACCTGCTAAGCAATCTTGCGTTGACTCGAAGTAAGAAGCTTTTTAATATTATGTTCTTCTGATTATTTAATGCCTTTTATTACATACATAATCTTATACTCGTTTTAGGTACGGCTGTTGTCCTGATGATAAGACGGAATCTAAAGGGCCGAGGAATGAAGGATGCCCCGAGGAAGGTAAAAAAACAAACCAATTTGTTTTTCTCTCTTTTATACAAATAAGGTATTTATAACAAGTTTTTCGATTTGTAGAAGTTACAACAGAGGCAACAGGATGCTTTGCGACCGAGTTCGGTTGCTGCGCAGACAACAGTACCGCTGCGACTGGACCAGACGAACAGGGTTGCCCATGCAACATTACCGCTTTTGGATGCTGCCCGGATGGTGTCTCTCCAGGTACAAACGATACAATTACCTAATTTTCTAATCAACCATGTACAGGAGTATAGTATGATACGTCGTAATTCTTAGCGAAAGTCCATGTTCACTATTCTTTAGATGTTATTTAGTGATAAAGCACCATATTGTCTACAAGATCAAGTTAGTTACCATATACATCACATCATCAGATATTTTAAAAATGTAATAAATTGGATAAAACCGATGTTTTGATTTATTTATCTTCTACCAGCGCAAGGCACTCAAATGGAAGGCTGCGCGTTCTCGTGCAATTCGACGGAATTCGGATGTTGCGCCGACGGCGAGACTCCTGCCCACGGTCCGGAGCAGGAGGGATGCTGCTTGCAATACCCCTTCGGCTGCTGTCCCGACAACTACAAGCCCGCCGCTGGACCTCATCTTGAGGGTACGGCTGCTGTGACGTTTATTGATGACAAAAAGCACAAGATAAGCGCTTGGTCACTTTGATATATAGCTTCTGCTAATAGTTACCGTCTCTTTTTAATATAATATACTCATATATATTGTTGTTAGGTTGCAGCTGCGCAGAAGCCCACTACGGCTGCTGTCCCGACAACGTCACCATCGCGCGCGGACCAAGCAACGAGGGCTGCGGCTGTCAATACACAGAGTTCGGATGTTGCCCGGATCGGTAAATTAAAACCAACTATCTTTTTGTATCACATAATTGATATAAATACAATTAACACGCTCACTGCCTACCAGGTCATAATCGGCCTGCCCCGTACTTAAGCTGATGCGGACGAAGAAAACTATGTCCCTCTCGCTAGTGCGAAACGATTATCTCAGGTGTATACATTACATTACATAAAATGTATACATCATGTTTCCATAAAGTTATAGCAATTTAATCTATCCTAGTGCTGGTGGGTCTTGAAAGACTTGCCACGCACTGGGGGATATTTAATTTGGGGACAAATTTTGGCCCGCCGCCGCACCATATGAAGAATTATGATTTTACTTGCCGCAGTATAAGTGTTAAAAAGCAATAAGATAATAACTTTACTTCCAGTCACACTATCGCTACCGGGCCGGACTTCGAAGGTTGTTCTTGCAACACGTATCAGTTCGGCTGCTGTCCCGACGGTGTCTCTGTCTCCACCGGCCCCAACATGGAGGGCTGCCGCTGCGACTACACGCAGTACGGCTGCTGCGGGGACGAACTCACCGCCGCTGTGGGCCCTGACCAGTTGGGCTGCGATTGCGCCAGTAGCAAGTACGGCTGTTGCCCTGATGGCCAAACTGAAGCTAAAGGAGAGAAGTTCCTGGGTTGCTCTGAAATACCTGTAAACAAACAAGGTTTGTTATTTTACTTTACATTAAACAATGGTTTTATTTTAACGATGATTTCTGCAGATATTCCTTCACTATATATTTAATTTAACCGTCTATTCTGAAAGCTTAGTAACAAATTACAAACGTGTGCAGAGGCCTGCAGCCTGCCGACGGAGCGTGGCTCGTGCCGCAACTACACGGTGCAATGGTACTACGACATGGAGTACGGCGGCTGCTCGCGCTTCTGGTACGGCGGCTGCGAGGGCAACGCCAACCGCTTCGGTAGTAAAGAGGAGTGCGAGGATGTTTGCGTACAACCTTCTCCTAAAGGTAGGTGACTCTTTAGTTAAGAATCTCCCTAAATCTATTGTAAAATTATAAAATTGGGACATCTTAACGTTGAAAGAATTTCTTACTAGAAATCTCCTAAAATAATGCTTTAAAAAAATGGTAGTAAAAAATAGCCATAAAATGGCCATGTCCGGGAATTGTCGCCAACAGTAAAATATGATATCTGATTTTTTACTTTCACATCACTTTCTTCTCCTCATCCAACAGACGCGTGCAACCTTCCGAAGGTTAAGGGCGCGTGCGTGGGCTATAACCTGCGTTGGTACTACGACAAGGATCAGCAGGTGTGCGGCCAGTTCGTATTCGGCGGCTGCCTCGGCAATGCCAACAACTTTGAGAGCCGCGAACTCTGCCAGACACAGTGTCAACCCAAAAAGGACGTTGGTAAGTTGACGCAAGCAACGGAAATACAATATGGGTGTCCGTTTCATAAGTGCCTAAATACCACATATCTTAGTTCTTCTAAATCACCTATTTACATACAAAGTAGGTCTTTATTTGGCATGTGTACAAATATTATATTATCATCCAGATGAATGTGGGCTGCCAATGGAAGAGGGCCCGTGCGCTGGTACTTTCGCGCGCTGGTTCTTTGACCAGAAGACGCGGCGCTGCTTACAGTTTGTATGGGGCGGCTGCGCCGGCAACGGCAATCGTTTCATCTCCGAGGCTGCCTGCATTCAGACGTGCAGTCCACCCGGCAAGCCACATCGTGAGTAATGACAAACCGACATTGACTATGAATATAAGTGTTCGGTGTAACTTTTTAACTTAACCCTAAAGGGTATATTCAGTTTAAATTGCTAACACAAAGTTATAAAACGGGTTGCTGATAAAACAGTGGTTGAGCTTTTATTCTTCGCTTCTTTTTTTGTAGTTTTGTGCATGAGATATGTATATATGTATGTGTTCATGGTACGCTCTCTGTGGTTACTTCTTTTTTTAACCTTTTGGTAATAGACCGGGAATGTAAAATTAGTGAACGTTAATGTATCTATTTAATCTTTCTTGTTTCACTTTTATTGACTTCAATTTTAAGTAACATATTTATGCGAAATTATGTCGCCTACTACGTTAGTACATTTTTTGTCACAAGTCCCCTTTTTGTCAATTTTCATTCTATTCATAATTAATGATTATATGAAATTGAAGTCAATTAAAAGTACTAATATTTCTGACTAACACTACACGAACAGCGAACTGCGATGAGCCGCAAGAGACAGGCAATTGCACGGAGAAGCATGCCGCGTGGTCCTTCAGCGATACGGAGAACCGCTGTGTGCCATTCTACTACAGCGGCTGCGGCGGCAATGGGAACAGATTTAATACCGAGGACAGTTGTATTGCCGCCTGTCCTAGTGTGTACGGTAAGTAATACACGACGAACCATGGTAATTTGAAAGTTTTAAATATATCCTTGATTGAGGCAATTTACTTCTGACTGATATTTGATTTAGTCTGAGATTGTCCGAAACAATCGTAAACGCAAATACACCATGCTCACGAAACACATGTAATATGCTGCAATTGTAAGTATAGACTGGTTACAGGTTTTGCTTTGCATGACATTGTTGTGTTTTACTATTAGATAACTAATAATAATAATGTAACTAGTTATAGCATGTATTGTATTCAATTCTCGATTTAATAAATATTCTTATTAACTCTCTCAATTCTATTCGCACAATATACCAACTCTTTTGTAACACGCAAATATTTAAGTCCGCTTATTTTCCGTGTTACATAATTTGACCTTAAGGTTTGTTTCAAGTTTTCGTATAACGGCTTTAATTATTTGAAATTGTAACTATGTCATATTTGCAGAGCCAGAGAAATGCGTACTGCCTGCGGAAACCGGAGAATGTGCCAACTATACAGAGAAATGGTTCTACGATACGGCTTATCAGCGGTAAGATAAAAGTGTTACTGCTCAGGGTTAAAATAAATTTATGGAAAACAAACACGAAAATTCTATGATTTCTCCTATTCTCGTTACAACGTGACATAGCCGTAAACTTTGTTATTAGTTGCCGACAGTTCTACTACGGCGGATGTGGCGGCAACGAGAATAGATTTGATTCCCAACAAGAGTGCGAGACGAGCTGCTCCCAACAAACTACCACAACTACCACCGAACTCACCACAATCCAGACCACACGACCCACCCCAACCACCAGACCCACGGAGCCCACAAGACCCGCGGAGACCACAATACACCAGGAGACAACAAGGCCTGAGGAGACCACACAGCCAGCACAAGTGCAGCCACCACAGCCTGGCTCACAGAGATCTGGTTAGTGTTTCACCTTAAAGACTTCTAGCAACTATTTATACCTGGTTTAATCCTAGTCCTTAACCATACACAATCTGCTATTTAGGCCATGAATAATAGGTTAAAGCGCTTCCTCTTCCATACTTTTCTTTTACAAAATCACTTCATAATTATAACTTCATTCGCTTCTTCTGTGTAGATTTCTGTGCATTGGAACTGGACCCTGGTCCGTGCGAGAATCTGCAGAGCCGTTGGGGCTACGATGGCTCCCTGGGCACCTGCATCACCTTCATGTACGGCGGCTGCGGCGGCAACAGGAATAATTTCCCCACGCAGGAGCATTGCAACTATTTCTGTCCCGATCAACCACGTAAGTTATCTGTTTATAGTCCAATAAGAAGTCCAGGAAGAAAATACCCGTCTGGCAACGACGAAGTCTTATAAAATACAAAAGAATAAGGGCATGTCCTACCAAATTTTAAATTGTCTGATAACAACCCAACGTGTAAAATATATGATGGAAATAACGGATTTTGTTACCTTATCTGTCAGTGTCATTTTTAAGCTCTCTGAGCCTTTATATCTAGTGGTGGGACACGCCCTAAGTTAAATCGTTGCAAATTAAAACATATTCTTCGAGGTGAATCTATTTTCATACCATTCTTTTCTTTCAGTATCTAACCGGTTCGAACCGGAAATCTCGTCAAGTGAAATCTGCAGGCTGCCGATGCGCGCCGGGCCCTGCGACCAGTCACTGATGCGCTGGTTTTACGACCCCAGCACCGACTCCTGCAGCCAGTTCACTTACGGAGGTTGCGAGGGCAACGCCAACAGGTCAGCATTAATAACACAGAATACTACTCACTTAGCACTTAAGTTTTTTTATTATTTATGATTTATTTTATATTCAAATAGATTTGAGAGCTTGGAAGAGTGCGAGAGTCGCTGCAAGAACACAAGACCTGAACCCGAGACCTCTACTACCACCACGACGAGCACCACGACTCCTGCTACAACCACAAACGCTGTAACGGTAAAAAAATAAATAATTAAGCATTTGCAGTAGCATGTAACGCCATACAAACACGTAAACGGTTTTTTCTTTCGTAAGATGGAAGAGTTGCCGCCGGAGTGCATAGTATCCCCGCTCCTGGAAGAGTGTGCCGGCGCGGGCACGGTGTGGTACGCGGACAGCAGCCGGCAGTGCGTGCCGCACGTCAACAGCGACAGCGGCGCCACCTGCCGCCACACCGGCGTCTTCAACTCGCCTGAAGCCTGCGAGAGGAGCTGCGGCGCTTTCCGGAATATTGGTTAGTTAGATGCGTAAATGTTACCAAAGAGTATGAACTTGAGAGAACAGATCAGTTCGATATTGTTAAAATTCAGCAGTTTCAAACTGCCTTTCTCATTATATTAATGCAGTAATCCCCATGAAAAATCCTCATGCGATTGTTTTATAATAATTTATATTAAACCAGATGTGTGCCGGTATCCGTTGGACGCGGGTCCGTGCCGATCTTCTGAGCCCAAGTTTTACTTCGATGGCGACAGCAGCAGCTGCCGACAGTTCTTATACGGCGGCTGTCACGGCGGCCCTAACCGTTTCTCCACATTCGAAGAATGCGAGGACATTTGCCAACCTAAGAGCGGTAATTAAATTCATTCTTACACTTACACGAATTGTTCTTAAATAGAATTTGATACATAACACAAATTACATTTTCTTTGAGCGGAGTATTGATTTAATGCAATTTCAGACCCATGCAAGGTTCCCCCGGAGCCGGGCAACTGCCTGGCGTACCTGCCCATGTGGTACTACGACGAGGCGCGCGACGACTGCAGCCAGTTCATCTACAGCGGCTGCAACGGCAACGGAAACAGGTACACCAAACACACATTATATTTCTACCGCGAACATTCGGCGGGGCCTTTAATAAAAATACGTCTACCGATGAAAAATTATGACAAATTATGACACAATAGTAAGTATTGTCAAGTCAGTTAATAAATATTAACATATTTCCACAGATTCGATACAAGAGGCGATTGCGAAGGTCGATGCAAGAAACGACCTACGACCACCCTCGCACCAACAACTGAAGTTATTACCACCACGACAACGACGACTACAACGACCACAGCTGCTCCCACCACTACACAACAAATTGTAAGTAATACCTTGATCATTAGATTTTTCCATTTAACCTTCCAGTATACCTTTACTTATGATGGATCAATTCTATTAGTTACATGTTTATAGCTCTCCATTTGCTATGTAGGCTACTTTATGTTTCTTAGATCTTCAATAATACTACCATTTTAACTTTTAGCTGGTGGAGGAGCAGTGCCGCAGACCAGCGTCGCTGGAGCCTTGCGGGGCCAGCGCCGCCGTGTTCTACTACGACGAGACGCACGGCGCCTGCCTGCCCGCGGACTTCGGCAACTGTCGCCATCCCAACTCCTACCGCAGCGAGGAGGAGTGCGAGAGACAGTGTGGTATCTTCAGGGCACTTGGTTAGTATAAGTACATCGTTTTGGTTTTCAATCTAGATTGTGTATCTTAACGCTAAACTTTATATTTGAAAAAAAAAATAAAAACAGCAACTACAGCAGATCATAAATCGCCTAATTTTATGCTAAGATACTTTTCTGTGTTATAATTAATTGAACCTCCACCTACAGACGTGTGCCGCTACCGCCTCGACCCCGGGCCGTGCAACGACACTGGCATCATGAAGGTGTACTGGGACGCGGAGTCAGGTCGCTGCGAGCCGTTCGCGTACGGCGGCTGCCAGGGCGGACCCAACCGCTTCTCCAGCGAGGACGAGTGCGAGGAGGTCTGCGGTCCTACTGGCCCTGGTATGTACCGCCTTTGGAACAAGTTGAGCATATCATCTCCTGTTACCTCAGTAGTTATTAGATATTTTACTTGCTATTAGAATATAGATTGATCATTGTAGTGCTACAAAGGGTATGGCTTTTTATAATCACTTCAGTAATTCATTTCCTATAGAGAGTAAGTACAACTGCACAGAGTGTCCTGACGTGTTATCTTAAATAACTACTTTTCTAGCTTTCATTAGTTGCATTATCTATGTAACTAATTAGTTTCAGTTAAAAAGACATACAATGCATTTGTTTTACTCTCTAGCATACTTTCCATTTATAATGCAATATTTAATTCTCCACAGTTAATTACTTCAAACACACTTATTTCAGTAATTCTACTCGTAGTAGTTTGTAACTAAAGCATAGTAGTAGTATTTGAGTAAATCGCATGTCGGGGTTCTATCTAACTGGTTGTGGGGTTGACTAACCTTGGGGGGGCAGCCCCGGCGTGCCTGCAGCCGCTGTCGATGGGCTCCCGAGCCTGCGGCCAGGAGGCCCCGCGCTGGCACTACGACACCGCCTATGGGGACTGTCTCTCCTTCATCTACTTCGGCTGCGAGGGCAATCAGAACAACTTTATATCCTACGAGGAGTGCGCCGACGTCTGCAAGGTCCCATCGACCGCCGGTACAATATCCCTTTAGCTAGCCATCTCTACCGCGCTCCTGAACTTGAGTACTGCTACCAGACTTTGTTCTCTTTTTCATATTTTATATTCTGGTTGGATCTGACTCCCAATTCTGTACAAAAATACCACAATGGTTTAATCCAAATTATGTTTATGGATGTTGATGATCATTGTGGTGCGTTTTAGTGGAATTGTGGGTTAGTAAAGAGCGTGTAGAGCCGGCACAAGGTCATCGTGATGAGCTTCTGCATCCACAAGCACCGCTTCTGTACGCTTTATCTCCTTGCACTTTGCACAATACAGGTGTTATTCTGAAAATGTTGTCGATGTGCGTATCTACAGGTTAGTACTTAGAAAAATGGTAAGCATTTTATTCAGTTGTTCAATGTTAAATATATTTGTACAAATGAAAGTTCTTGGTGTTTTTGTGCTTTGAGTCAAATGACGCATGATTTATTGTTAATAGTGGTTATTTATATCGAACAAAGTGATGTTATTTCGCCGTTACAAATTATTATTTAACTAAGTAGGTACTCTCACTGGATCTGACTTGTAAATAAAATTAATTTTTAGAGTTCAAATGATGCTGCCTATAAGTTAAACTATGTATTTAACAGTGTGTTAATCGCTTGCGTGTCTGCAGGGACGAACGAAGTGCTGCCGGACTGCGAGGCATATAACGCGGAGTGCGCGGCGCTGCGGTGTGCTTACGGCGTGCAGCGCACGCGCACCGCCGGCGGCTGCGAGCGCTGCGCCTGCGTGCAGGTCGAGGTGGACTGCGCGCCGCTGCAGGAGGAGTGCCAACGCCTCAAATGCTACTACGGAATGCAAAACGAAACTGGCGACGACGGCTGTCAGAGGTTTGTTTAATATCATCTGTATTATAGTAGTCATCAAAGTATGAAAACCAAACCTTGTGATTAATACAAGTAACATTGTATAAAAAAACTCTATTAATTTGGTGTCTAAACTAGTTACCCGGTACTAGTTACCCTGTGCGATGGATCACCAGGCCCTTGGTATGTTCTAAAAATGTCCAAACACCTCTAGATGCCGCTGCCTGGATCATCCGTGTGCGAGCAAAACTTGCGCGGAGGGCGAACGCTGTGTACCCACCGTGTTCCGCGACCCCGTGCTGCAAGTGTTCAGCTATGTCGCCAGCTGCAACGTCAGTCAGTACCGATCCAATGTTTATATCACATTTGGTGCAGTCCAATATATAAACATTGATTATCATACACGAACCCTCATCAATACAGATTTTTCTAAGTGCTCAGAAGCGCAAGCTTCTAATATAAATGCAACATATCTAAAATATTTGTATAACGTAAACAGTGAACAAGACGGGTAGCTGTCCTGATGCGGAGGATATGCCGGTGTTGGACGGGTCGTGCCGGGTCGAGTGCAACGACGACGCGGACTGCCGCGGCGAGGCCAAGTGCTGCGCCCGCGGCTGCAGCCGGCACTGCTTCGCGCCCGCCGCCCCCACGCCCGCACCCGCCGCCATCATCACCGCCACCAGCGCCACGCCACTCACCACCGCATACCAACCCGGTTGGTATATTGTTAAAACTAGTGAAATTGACGTGAAAAGTCGAAAGAAGAAGTTAACCAGTTCTACGTATAGTCCTCAATAACAATGGAACTATTGACATCAGAGCCTTTTTCCACCTAGAATTGCTTTAATTAACTTGTGAACAGAGCTGCCGCATGCGCCGCGCGCCGACACTGCTACGGAGCCGGAGGTGAGCGCGACGGAAGGCGGCAAGGCCACGCTGCGCTGCCTCTTCCATGGCAACCCTCCGCCCAAGATCACCTGGAGCCGCGGCGAGATTACGGTACACAAAATCTTACTAATATTATAAATGCGAAAGTTTATTTGGATGGATGGATGTTGATTTGTTAGAGTTTGTAGCCTAAACTGCTGCACGGATCTCGATGGAATTTGGCACAGGTGTAGAGTATAGTCTGGAAGAACACATAGGCCACTCAGTTTTTTTTTAATTTCACGCGGACGAAGTCGCTCTCGAAAGCTAGTTTAAAATATATTAGTTCTCTGGCACCTAAATCATCTTTCAGAAGTATAAAGCTTGGGTCCTTGTGGAGTTCTACTTAAACTGTTTTCTCTGTGGAATTTGAAAAATGTCTTAGTGTCAAAATTGATTACCAGTATAAGAAGGTATATTACGATATCAGATCGACGGCACCTCTGACCGGTATCGGCTGCTGTCGGACGGCGCGCTGGAGATCGTGTCGCTGTACCGCAACGACTCCGGCGTCTACATCTGCATCGCCGACAACGGGCTCGGCGTCGCGCGCCAGGAGATACATCTGGTGGTCACCGGTAAGTGCTCGCTTGCCACATGCCACACTACATGCCACATGGTATGCCTTTCATACGTCATCGATACAGTAACCAACGAAAGTTGAACTCTCGTTGTCCAAATAAATAAAGTTCTTTGTATTTACCGAGTTATATGGGCAGTTTTATGTTGAAAATTGTTATAGACACACATCATAATGAACCCAATATATGAAACTCTAATGGACAATTTATTTTAGTTTAATTAAGGCTCTCATATATTGCCAATTTTATTCATAATTATAATTATCGATGACGTGTGAAGTATATTTGCAACTGGTTTTGGGATATTTAATAACACAGTAGAATAGATATTTTAGAATAGTATCTCTTACTGATCGCATCTCTTGCATTTATTTCCTATTCTTTGTTAAAATCACAACCTGCGTCAGTAATGGACATTAACATGAAACACACTATCATTTGATTATTCTGCTCAAATTATTGGGCATCTGTTGACACACATTTGATGATTGATATTTCGATTGGCAGACTGAATGAAGTATTATATTTCAAAACAATATAGAAGTACTTGAATTAAAAATAATTTGTACCAGGTTTTGAATCTTAAATCGCCTTACTGATGGAGTCAAATATGTTTTAATCTCACTGTGTTAATAAGGAAGGAACAAATGCTTTGAATATGTGTATTAAATCTGCAGTTAACAATTATAAGATAGATAAGCGATGTTGTTAAGGTCATTCAATGTTAATTGATCAATATATTAGCTTCTTATTAACTTATTGCTCATATCGTAGTAACTGTTTGTCAACAATTAGACGTCTTTGCACTCTCGCCCTACGAGATAGCGTGTAATACGCCCTCTAAAAACATTTCCGTGCTCACAATTGAAGATTTATATTTAAAAAAATAAAAAGAAAACCTCAAAAACATTTACGTATTCATAATAAACTCTTAGGATGAAAGGAGACTACATGTGGTAGAAATGCGAATGTTAAGCTGGATGTGTGTGGTAACACGAATGGATAAGATACGCGATGAGTTAATATACTCAGGAAGAAGTTAGGGAGTAGCTCCGGTGGTAGAGAAGGTAAGGAGTAAAAGGTTAGCATGTTATGAGGAGGGATAAATCGAATGTAACAAAGAGTTTGAGTATGGAGGTACACCGGTAGCGGTAGACGTAGAAAGAGATGGATGTATTGCGTGGAAGGTGACATGATCACGGTAGTAATGACTGAGATGAAGTATGATAGAGTTATTTGGAGGATAAAAACCTGTTGTGCCGACCTTACGGGAGTAGGATAAGAAGAAGGATGATGATGATGAAGAAGAAATTCATAGATTTCTCATATAGTTTTGAGGAAACATATTATTTTATATTCATAACTGCAATTTAATGCGAGCACATGTCCGAAATGCATAAATATCAAATTGCGTAATCTTTTGCAGTCAACAGTCCCTTATCTGAACTCAATTAGGCGGATGCCCGTAATGACTAGGATGACCAATACTCGTAACTTTTGTGGAACGTTTTTATGATGTATCCTATAGTAGTCGAAATTCAAAGTTTCAATACAAAATTTGAATAACTTCATGACCTAGTTACTCAGAGATAAAAATCTATTCTCAAGAACTTAAAACAAGACACATTTTAATAATAATTCTGACATACCAACTTGATTGTCCGCGTAAAATAAAAAAAAAACGAAAAATCTACACCAAATATCATCGAAATTCGTTCAGCTGTTAAGGCTACAAACTCTAACAAACATCCATCCATCTAAACTTTCGCATTTATAATATTAGTAAGATTAAGTATGTATTTGCAAAAAGTCCTAACATACAAAAAAGCCGTTGTCACTAGCCCTTACCAGTGCACAAGGTTCATTCAGTCTGCAGCTAAATCTCATACAATCAACAAGTGTGTCTGTCCGTCTGTTCTAAATATACAAAATGTTTCGATGTCTGTTACTGACGCTCTGCGCGCTGCTGGGAGTTTGCGCGAAACAAGGTTCGATTTCTATTTAAATCTGTTTTGGATTCACTTGGTGATTTCGTTTGTTTTAAGTTTTAAATAAGTTACATTTTTCAAATCTTTCTATACTCGTAGATCACAGAATTATTTATAAACACAAGAACAACAACTTTACGTGAAGAATAATTTGCAGTTATTGCGATGATGTTAGAAAATTTGGTCACAATATTCTGGAACTCTTATATAATCTAAATGCAGTAATTGCAAATTAAAATGTTCATGTGAATGGTCTGTGACGTCACCCGGGAAGTTGACGATAGCGTTCAGAAAACTCCGGGAAGTGGGAAATGAACCGTTATCGCAATTATCAACATTGTTCAAATACTTGACAAATATTACCAAAACAATCCAAAACAGATTGATCTAATTAGCTAGTTTTTCTAAGATTTCTAATAACATACGGATTTGTGGGCGCTCATATCACTTTTAATATGTTAAAGTATTTTGGCAGTTGTCAAAACATCGGATGGATGTAGTAATTAATGTTTCTTCTGCCAAAGTTCTTATAAAACAGTTCCATTAACAATGAAATCGCAGCACCCATAAACCTCTGTAGATTAGTTTACTAACAATTGGAGTGGTCAGATCCCGTGGCCGCGCCCATATCCATCGCGGGAGATAACGATGCCGTCGTGATGGGAGAACTCAACCGGGTGCTGTACATCCGCTGCATGGCGTACGGCTACCCCATGCCCATCATACAATGGTTCCGGGGCTTGTCGGGTCCTATGGTGCCGTACAGCAGCTCCCTGTATGAAGCCCGAGACAGCGTACTTCAGATAAGAAGACTAGACTACGATACGCTCGGTGACTACGCATGCCAGGCGTATAACGGACAGGGCAAGCCTGCATCGTGGTCGGTCGTGGTGAAGGCGTATAGACCGGAAGGGGACGAGACCTACAACCCATACTTGGTGGACAGACATGAAAGGGTTTTAATAACCCAGAGGGAGCCTATTACAGAAGCGACGACAACACCACTTCCTGAGATCACAGTACCAGTGTACACCGGTAAGATGGAAAATGTTATTTGAATGAAGAAGTAAGGCGATGACTTAAATTTTACAGATTATCGGCTTACTTCTTTATTCTGCTTTTTGGGTTGGTGCATGTTTGTATGATTGCATGATTCTTTTCTCTTTGGGTTGCACTTTTATAACGACTTGCTTAAAATATTATTGGGTGACGTTTTATTTTTACAATTATTTTATGTATTGTTTAAATTTTGTAATGATTGTGTATATTTTTGTAATGGAATGTAAAGTTAACGTGAAAATGTTACAGTTATTCGCTAGTTACAAAATAATTGTAGTTATTGTATTGAAAAATCTTATTAATATAACCAGGTACGTGTAAAAATTATAGAAATATCAGCCAGTTACAATGATTCCCAGATATTATGTTTTTTCTTCACATTTGTGCAATTTAAAAAAACAGTTAAGGTGACAGGGCTTTTTAAATCGTGGAATGATATTCATCCGTTCTTGATGATATACATTTCAATTTTTGAACATGTATTGTTGATTTTTAAAAGATTGTCAATCTTGTTTAGTTGTTGTATTGAGTGCGTGTGTGTAGTGCCGGTGACGACGCGCATCCTGTCGTCAACGACGACTGTGGCGACTGGCGCGCAGCTGTCGCTGCCGTGCGAGGTGGACGGCTACCCCGAGCCTGAGGTGCGCTGGACTAAGGACGGCGTGCCGCTGCTGCAGAGCGACCGTATCGATATCACAGGTCACACATCTACAAATGTTGATGTTCATCGCTGATATATCCGCGATTTTCTTATTTGTTGCGCTACGATGACTCTGGAGATTTAAATTCATCTCCATGATATCGAAATCAATGAAACGAAAGTTCAGAACAAAGTGACAAGACTTTACTTTTTTTATTTGTTCCATGAACGTTTTTCGTTGTCTACTCGGTACCTTTTTTAACTTTTCATCGTTGTGTCGTATTCGTAACCAACCATTTTACTGCTTTAGTCTGTTTTATTATTTATTTATTTTAATTTAATTGTTCAATTGACAACGGGTTTTCACAGAGTCACGTCTAACGATAACATCGACGAACATAAACGACAGCGGGCTGTACGGCTGTCACGCACGCAACGCCTACAGCTCGCACTCCTCCACGCTGCAGATTACCGTAGAAGGTAGGCTGCACACTTTAGATACATTTCACTATTTATTATAAACAATTAACTACCATAATATATTAACAGATAATACTAGTTATAAACAATCGTAGATAAACACGAAATATTCTAAAAAATACTGCAACATGAGCAATCCTTTAAACTTCAGTTTTAAATTTTTATTTTATTGAACATTTTACAAAAAAACACAATTAAATATATAAAGAATATAGCCCCGCAAAACCATGTAATAGTCCGCGGGTGTATAGAATAGAGTTGAGTATCGTAATGGTTGCGATACATACGAGATTGTCTTAATTTCTAGTAGAATTTGCTTCATTCTGATCGTGTATTTGTCCTTCAGGTCTGTACATCCCGCCGACGTGCAAGGACAATCCATTCTTCGCTAACTGCAACCTCATCGTGCGCAGCAAGTTCTGTACGCACAAGTACTACTCCAAGTAAGTGTCTCGTGTAAATAACTGACTACTGTCAGTAGAGTTCGCGTACAACATGATGAGCAAACATCTTTTAAAACCTTTTAAATTTCATTTTCTGGTAATATTAGGTATTAATTACTTATAAATTAAATTTATTGAAAAACCAAGATGTCTTCCCTTTCATACTATAAAATCCTGCAGATTTTCCTTCAGAACTTCCCAAAAGGAGGTACTCAATTCGTCTCTACGGTTTTTTTTTTATGTGTGTCACGTCATAACTCCGCCGCTAATTGATTTTGTTATTTCTTTTTAAAATGTGTCCTAACACTTATCGTCTTGTTCCAGTTTCTGCTGCAAGTCGTGCGTGGAGGCTGGCCTCCTCAACCCGCTAGATCTTGATATATTACTTAAGTAGCGGGACAGCTAAGTTACCTATACTTAGGATAAGGAGAGGCCAAGGGTCACGACCGATGCAAGACACAACCTTGATAAGAATTCGCACTGAGTAACAACTAGTGCATATTTTACACCAACATTTGTGCATTAAATGTAGCTTTGTGGACGTTACATTCATAATTGTTTTAATATATTTGGTGTTGTAAAATTCTATTATTCAGTAATTGTAAACTAAAGCAATTCTTCTGTAGTTGTCGTAAAAATGTATTATTTTTAAAATTGAAAATGGTAAATTAAATAGGACGTCGGTCGTGGAGACCTTTGGAGTAGATAGAATCACAAAGTGCCATAAAAAACTCCGTGCTTTATACAACGTACAGTAAAATTGCCCGCGATATCTGACGAGATAACTCTCTGGGGGCATATTTACAATGTAGTTATGCACTTTTAAGTAAACAATAAATACCAATAGAGTAGATAGGGACAATTAATAATGTAAATAATTACTTACACGTCTGTGATGGGAATTCACTTATTCAATTGTGTTTGAAGAGCGCTGACAGCTCTAGAACATTCCACGCAAGTTTACTAAAATCGTCAATACACTGCATTAGCAGCAATAAACTGCAGTCTGTGTATGGCAAAGTACAATTTTATATGAAAACTGCAGATCTGTAGAACGCTAGATTCTTTAAATTTGACGTATTATTAAAAATAATCACGATATGACTTTGTATGATTTTTAATGTAATTTTTATAGATGTGAATGTTACTGTGCATTATGAATGCAGTTAAACCTGTATTAAATCGTCTGTTTTTTCAAAGATTATATGTGCTGACATTAAGTACAGTCGTGGATACCCGCGGTGTTCCACTTACAGAAACATTACCTTGTTCATTGCAACACAAACTCCTCCCAAATAATCATTTAGGTAGCAGTTTGCAAAAACTCCGCGAAAATAAAAAGCAATTATCTGTGTACCGCTGCTATTTTTTCATATATACACATTTAGTACCTGCATATTAATTATTCCGCGTCATCTCGGTATATATTTAAACGACAGTAGCTTTTAAAATTCATCACCGTCAAATTCCCCGACTGTACAATACAGGTGTCAGTGCAGTTGTGTAGTCAAACTTTGCGTGGAATGCATTGCATGCTTGGCATTCGGAGCTCATCATATACATGTTCTTATTTCAACATAGAAAGTAGTTTTTCAAAACAATGTTTTTTTCCCATTTTCATCAAGATCTAAGTAGAATGAACTTGGTGTTTAAAGTTGTAGTTACAATTTCCCATTGACTCGTAAATACTCCTTATCGCAATTTCCGGAGCGAGTTTCGATGTAAGTTATCCGTAAGTTATTTATTATATAAGTTCGTAGCTTTGTATCACTAAGTGTACTTAGAGTCAAATTCAGTGTTATTTGTGAGTCATAATAATATTTTTAAGTGGAATTTTATATTTGTGACGTGTAAATAGATGACAATAAAGTGCGTATTATTGATAATTTGCAGTATTTTTTAATTCCCTTGTTCCTCTAATTCAGTGATTCCCAAAGTGCCCCCTTATCGGGTCGATATCTCATCGACCCCTACGGGTCTATGACAACCTACAAGGGGTGTATATCAGCGAGAGAAAAAATAGGGGTCCTTGATAGTGGATCTCAACACATACACTGTAGCACCTATTTACTTACATCATACTGTCTTATAATATCAAAACTATTTTGTTGTATTTAATAAATTTATTTTGAGTAGTTTTAATTTAAATTCAATTAATAAATGTATAAATTAAGATGTGTTTTACTTTTTCTGACAGCGCCCTACATATACTTAAAAAACAGAGGGCGCTGTGTCAAGTATGCGCCTGCGACGCGGTGCCATGCCAGGTTGCAATGGCGATGACAACAGCTTCCTCTAGATATTTCGTGAGCGGCGATCTTAAATTTCATTGAAATCCGTTCAGCCATTCAGTCTACAAATTCTTATTTCCACCCATCCATCTAAAATTTCGTATTTATAATTATATGGTATTATTGCCAATGTGAATCTTTATTATATTCTATTTTTGGGCACTGTTTAGTTTATTTTCATAACAAAAGATGGAGTTTATAATAATTTTGTAACACTTTTATTACGTATCACACAAGGACACAAGGTGGCACTAAACTTGAAATCTGTTATAGTACCTCCTTTCAGAGAAAGTACCGGGAATTTTTTTTTCACTCAATCTGTTTTTTTTTATATACATTTTTAGAATTATACTATGAAGGGTAGTTAATAAAAAAATGTATACACATTCATATAAGTTATATTTATACTGACTGCATTTATCATGTAATGAAATTACTAAAGGTTAAAACATGAGGTGTAAATATTTACAACAACCTTAAACTAAAGCGATATTTCATCTAAAAGAGTATGTCGAAATATATAGCATGGGTTATGTATAAGTATATAACAAATAAAGTATGTGAAGGCAGTGATAGATTTTAAAAAATAATAAAAGTAAAATAAAAGAAAAAAAATCTGGGATAACATAAATTTTTATTTACATTCCAAAAATTCACAGTCAAATATTTATAAACAAGTATCGAGACCCGGCGTCCCTCTCGCTCGGTGCCGGGTGCGCGGGGGCGGGGGGCGGCGGGCTAGGCCGCGGTGCCCTAGCGTTACGCCGCAAGCGATTTTCAATCATAATTATATCTTGATTCTCAGTTGACACATAGTTTGCAAAACTTAAATCTACATCAATTAACAAGCAATTAAGAGCGAGCCGAGACAGGACGCGAGATGTGGAGAGCGACGGTCGGCCGCTGCAAAGGTATCAATTACCGGACAAACAACTTTACATTTAAGTTAAACGACTTCTGACAGAACTGCACGTAAAACAATACAGTGTTTATTATTTGCATTGTCAATTATGTGTCACATTGAATTGGAATCTGACGCTGTACTCTTTGAGAGTACATCACAAGACCCGAATACACTTGACGCAAAAGATTAAAACACGACAGGCTTTTGTGTACGTGCACGCGGGGC